GTTTTATAATCGAAGTTAGCGGAATGCCGGGCTTGACTTGATATATTAGCCAAATATGCAATAAGTTTATCAACATATCAAGAAGCCGATCACAAATTACGAGTCATAGGAGTTTTCTAAAAACTATGTCTGGATTATTGGCTATGTTATCCAAATACTACCAATCCGATATATGAACTCAGTCTTTCCATAATCCACTTTCATTTCTCGCTCTTCAACTGTACAGTTTCCCTCTACCGACTAAATATGAAGAGATTTCTATTCTTCCCAATCAATAACAACACCCCCAATGGCCAGCATACAATGCAATGTATATATTTATACACATATATACATATACACATACACATATACATATACATATATATATGAGAAAAATGGATATGCTTGGTACCAAGCACAAGTTTTTGTGCTTGATAGTGAGGTGGCATATTCCTCCACTCATTGAAATCGGGGCCCACATTCACATGGGTTGGGGAGTAGTTGGAAATTGGAATGAGTGGATGGGAGTAGGACACCTCACTACCAAGCACAAAATTTGTGCTTGGTACCAAGCATACACATTTTCTCTCTATATATATATGTATATGTATATGTGTATGTGTATATGTATATATGTGTATAAATATATACATATATATGACACACACATGTATGTATGTGTATGCGTATATGTATGTATATATATATAATGCTTCTAAATTTCCAGATATAATCACTGACACCAAACAATTACGAAGATTTCTTGGTGCCTTAAATTATGTAGCAGATTATTATCATAATCTTGCACAAGACACTGCCATTTTATATAGCAGATTGAGAAAAAATACGTCCTTTGACAGATCAACATATTGTTGTTGTCCGTAAGATTAAATTAAATGTTAAAAGTCTACCATGTGCGCATCTAGCTAATGTACAATAGTTTAAAATTGTTGAAACTGATGCGTCAAACATTGGTTATGGAGGTATCCTCAAAAAAATTGATCTCACTACTAACAAAGAACAATTAGTTAGATTTACTTCTGGTAAATGGGATCCAGCCCAATTTAATTATTCCACCATTAGAAAAGAAATGTTAGCTATTATAAAATGCTTTTACAAATTTAGAGATGATATTCTCAATCAGCAAATTCTATTAAAAATTGATTGCAGTTCTGTTAAAACAGTCATAGAAAAAGATGTGTGTGTGTGTATAATACGTATATATACATATATGCGCGCGCGCACACACACACACACATATTACATATCAGTTTTGTTGCACAAGAAAAAATAAGACAAATCTTGTTAATTGTTTTCATATTTTAAAGGGTGGGTATTCTATTTTATGTTTTTACTCATTTGAAAAAATGTACACTCAGCTAATTAACATATATATACAAAGATTCATACATTTAATTCAAGTTGCGGAGGTAAGTATACCCTATACATATCTTATGTAGCTTTGCCTGATTATATATGTATTGCCTTGATCTACAATGACATCAGATATTTGCAAAGTATCCTCTCAGTCACCAATATCCGCCATTGAGTATTCAATTTATCCATCTGTAGCCCGAGTACTGAATTTAACCGTCCTCTATAGCTTGAGTTTTGAATTATTCACCGCTATAGCCATAACAGATCTTTAAAACATTATGCATAATTAGATCAAAAATTCAAAAACATCAATTCAAATGCTATATATTTTAAATTAGGAAATCCATCAGGATAATTGAAAATCAGAAAAAGGTATTATCATCACTCAAATTAAGTTTAATTTCAATAGCCAAAAAAACATAATATATAACAAACGATTATACCATCAACTGTACCAATTGAGATAAAATTAATGTAAACATAGACAAATGCAAAAGTACAAAAGAAGAAAAAATATTTCTTCCATGAAAAACTAAATTAGTACAAAAATTAATTGAAAGATCCCACTAGCAACTAACTTTTAGCATCAAAATTTGACAACACCAAAAATATAATTCACTTGTAGTTAAACTTCATTAGTACAAAAGTTAACCAATGATATATATATCACAGTAGTTCTCAAAAATAAGGTAGACAGTAATAAAATAACTTACAGGGTAATGCATCTCTTTGCTCAGTCCAAAATTCACAAGAATAGAATTCACCACCATGGAGAAATATTGCGCAATATATGTTCCAATACCTAGCTGCAAAAAATCACAATATAAGGAGAAATCTAGAATATGATATTTCCAAATCTACAGCAAGGAATAAATATTTAGGGCACAATATGACAGTACTTACCGCAGATCCATAAAGGGTAATGTAAAGGATGTTCTTCCTGCCCATGGGTAATAGCTTCATAAACTACACCAAATTCCAAAATCAATGCTTGACATAAGAATCAACAGCCGAATAGGGCATAATCAAACACGTAACGCGGAATATAGAAAGTTGTGGAGCTTTACGAACAGAATCACACATCAGAATTTTTGGCTTTGTAATCAGGAGTATATTAATTAATCGGTTTTTCTATAGAGTGCCCTTGGGCACTCTATAAGAGAGGAGAGAGATAGAGAGAAATGAATGAAGAGAGGATCCCAATGCAAATCAGGGGGCCCCCCTCCTCATTCATTTCTCTCTCTCTCTCCTCTCTTATAGAGTGCCCAAGGGCACTCTATAGAAAAACCGTTAATTAATAAGTCAATCTGAAATCTTTAACACCAACTTGAATCCAACACTTGCTTTAGACTCTGTGTGTTATATGCACCTTCCTATAACTCATGCATTAAGACTTCTCACAACAACAAGGTCTACTCGATATGGAAGATTTTTACAAGCGGGCAAAAGAAATTTCCATCTCTTCAAGACATTTCATATCATTCACTTGTGTGCTATCATGACCATGTTTGTTATTGAAAAATAAAACCTAAAGTGCAAAGGGGAGAAATAACCTGAAATACAAGGAGCAATACAACAGCAAGGATCCCCACAGCCATTGAACTGCCAACATAAAATGGGACCCAGGTACTAAAAATTGGTGCAAGAAGCAGCAGGAGAACACCAAAACCAAGACAAATCAAGCGCCACTGCTGAAATTCTGTACACGCAAAAACAACAACGGGACATGCTTTAAAATGCAATAGGACAAATACAAGGGTGAAAATCAGCAATTTATGCCTAGTTCAATGCAGCGTAAAGACAAACATTATAGCTAACCTTGCTCGGCGGTAATTGTGAATGAATATGGTAGTTTATCCTCGACTTTTACATCAATGTATCTCCTTTCATATGGTGATATTACAGCAGTCCATTGACCCTCCTGAAGAGTCTTCCACTGATCATCCTCACATTGGCATAGACCCTTTGAAACATTTCTGCAGGTGGTGGCAAAAATGAAATGCTTTTTCTGACCATTTGTAAGGATACAAACAATAAAACCATATTATGAATGTCACTTAACTTGAATAAAAGACAAACATGTTGCTCACCTGTGAAAACAAACCTCCGCCTTTCCATGAAGCTTTTCTGGGACAGTGTTCGATGCTTTCAGCATAACATGCAGTGAACTCGCATAATGCTTCAGATTTATCCTTGAAATCCCAGCGAGATGCACCCGCTCACACAGGTGCCCATCATGAGGCGTTGGAACAAACTCTACAACTGGATTCTCTAAACTAACACCTGCCATTCATAAACCAAATATAAAACACAAGCGACGGAAATGGTGAAAAAAATTGCAAAACAAAGTGAAGTATAGCAAAAAAGAACCAACATCAATAGATGTCTGTCTAATGTGACTAAGAATCTGTAGCTTGCGAGTAAATTTACGCAAAAGTAATGAGAGTTAACAATTAATGTTGGCACTTCGGGCTACCGAAACCAAGCCTGATGAAGTTTTTTTGATCCTTTCAAATTTTAACTTTCCCTAGAGACCTAATAATCTTCAATTAAAAAAAAGACTAATTGAAAGAATGGGGATAAACCCTAGATCAACTAGATTACTCTAAATTTTCACAATGCAACCCGTAGAAAAGATCGGATCAGATCAAGACCCTAGAAATTACCTCTGAAAGGGGTTTCCTCGCTGGTAGAGAGGAAGAATAGAGGAGTGATGGAGAGGCCGAAGTAGAGGAGGGAGGAGAAGAGCGACGAAGAAGAACCAGAGGATCTCGCCATGACTCTCTCTTTCTCCGTTTGCCCTAATTTCTAGGGTTTTTTTGGAGAAGAGAGAGAGAGAGAGAGAGAGAGAGAGAGAGCAGAAGCGCGAGAAATGAGACTGAGGTCTGAGATTCTCAGATCCTTTCTCCTTCGTCGTAAAGCATACCGCGCGCTCGAACCGACACAGGAAAAGGGAAACACATTTTGGGGTTTTCTGTCGCTTTTCTTGCCTTTTATAACTTTATATAATTATAATCTAATATTGGCCTGATTCTGACCGCGTGAGAAGCGCGTGCGAAGCGCGTGAGAAGTACGCGAGGGTCGCGTGACTTCGACGCACCAGGGGTAAATTGGTAAATTTCGACAAGTGAAGAGTAACTTTCAGTAAAACTCTCTGGGCCAGCCCAAGGCCCGTTCCTGCAACTAATCCACATGTCGGCCCACAGCCCAAACGGTCGATCGCCCCCTCGCACCTCTCCCTCTTCCCCCACCCACAATTTTCCCAGCCATCTCCTCGCTTTTCCCTCCTCATCCCCCCCATCCCAATTCTGAAAACCCTAAAGAATTTCAAAAGGATTTCAACGCCAATTCCACTTTAAAATCTCAGCTCCCCATCTCCAATTCCTCAAAATCGAGCGACTGGGGATCGCTAGGGTTCGGAATCACCGTTCAAGACCGAACCTTTTCCCTCCTCCCTCGCTACAATGGCACCGATTTTATCTTCATCAAAAGCATTATCAAGATTATTATCATCTCGAAGTCTAGCGTTGGATTCGAGGAACGGATTGGGATTGCTGCAGCGATCTTCGAGGAGCTTGGGGAAGTCCGAGAGGTTATCTCAGGTTCGGAGTTTTAGTAGTATCTCGAGGATTGGGAATCCTAGGACTGATTCTTTGATCAATAATGGTAGACAGGCTGGTTCTTCTTCTGGGAGTTCGCATTGGAAATCTCAAAGCAGATGGTTTTTGGGGGTTGGTGATGGTGAAGAGGGAGGAAACGTTTTGGCAAAGACTCATGAGGAGAGGCGCGTCAAGAATAGAATTCACCACCATGGAGAAATATTGCGCAATATATGTTCCAATACCTAGCTGCAAAAAATCACAATATAAGGAGAAATCTAGAATATGATATTTCCAAATCTACAGCAAGGAATAAATATTTAGGGCACAATATGACAGTACTTACCGCAGATCCATAAAGGGTAATGTAAAGGATGTTCTTCCTGCCCATGGGTAATAGCTTCATAAACTACACCAAATTCCAAAATCAATGCTTGACATAAGAATCAACAGCCGAATAGGGCATAATCAAACACGTAACGCGGAATATAGAAAGTTGTGGAGCTTTACGAACAGAATCACACATCAGAATTTTTGGCTTTGTAATCAGGAGTATATTAATTAATCGGTTTTTCTATAGAGTGCCCTTGGGCACTCTATAAGAGAGGAGAGAGATAGAGAGAAATGAATGAAGAGAGGATCCCAATGCAAATCAGGGGGCCCCCCTCCTCATTCATTTCTCTCTCTCTCTCCTCTCTTATAGAGTGCCCAAGGGCACTCTATAGAAAAACCGTTAATTAATAAGTCAATCTGAAATCTTTAACACCAACTTGAATCCAACACTTGCTTTAGACTCTGTGTGTTATATGCACCTTCCTATAACTCATGCATTAAGACTTCTCACAACAACAAGGTCTACTCGATATGGAAGATTTTTACAAGCGGGCAAAAGAAATTTCCATCTCTTCAAGACATTTCATATCATTCACTTGTGTGCTATCATGACCATGTTTGTTATTGAAAAATAAAACCTAAAGTGCAAAGGGGAGAAATAACCTGAAATACAAGGAGCAATACAACAGCAAGGATCCCCACAGCCATTGAACTGCCAACATAAAATGGGACCCAGGTACTAAAAATTGGTGCAAGAAGCAGCAGGAGAACACCAAAACCAAGACAAATCAAGCGCCACTGCTGAAATTCTGTACACGCAAAAACAACAACGGGACATGCTTTAAAATGCAATAGGACAAATACAAGGGTGAAAATCAGCAATTTATGCCTAGTTCAATGCAGCGTAAAGACAAACATTATAGCTAACCTTGCTCGGCGGTAATTGTGAATGAATATGGTAGTTTATCCTCGACTTTTACATCAATGTATCTCCTTTCATATGGTGATATTACAGCAGTCCATTGACCCTCCTGAAGAGTCTTCCACTGATCATCCTCACATTGGCATAGACCCTTTGAAACATTTCTGCAGGTGGTGGCAAAAATGAAATGCTTTTTCTGACCATTTGTAAGGATACAAACAATAAAACCATATTATGAATGTCACTTAACTTGAATAAAAGACAAACATGTTGCTCACCTGTGAAAACAAACCTCCGCCTTTCCATGAAGCTTTTCTGGGACAGTGTTCGATGCTTTCAGCATAACATGCAGTGAACTCGCATAATGCTTCAGATTTATCCTTGAAATCCCAGCGAGATGCACCCGCTCACACAGGTGCCCATCATGAGGCGTTGGAACAAACTCTACAACTGGATTCTCTAAACTAACACCTGCCATTCATAAACCAAATATAAAACACAAGCGACGGAAATGGTGAAAAAAATTGCAAAACAAAGTGAAGTATAGCAAAAAAGAACCAACATCAATAGATGTCTGTCTAATGTGACTAAGAATCTGTAGCTTGCGAGTAAATTTACGCAAAAGTAATGAGAGTTAACAATTAATGTTGGCACTTCGGGCTACCGAAACCAAGCCTGATGAAGTTTTTTTGATCCTTTCAAATTTTAACTTTCCCTAGAGACCTAATAATCTTCAATTAAAAAAAAGACTAATTGAAAGAATGGGGATAAACCCTAGATCAACTAGATTACTCTAAATTTTCACAATGCAACCCGTAGAAAAGATCGGATCAGATCAAGACCCTAGAAATTACCTCTGAAAGGGGTTTCCTCGCTGGTAGAGAGGAAGAATAGAGGAGTGATGGAGAGGCCGAAGTAGAGGAGGGAGGAGAAGAGCGACGAAGAAGAACCAGAGGATCTCGCCATGACTCTCTCTTTCTCCGTTTGCCCTAATTTCTAGGGTTTTTTTGGAGAAGAGAGAGAGAGAGAGAGAGAGAGAGAGAGAGCAGAAGCGCGAGAAATGAGACTGAGGTCTGAGATTCTCAGATCCTTTCTCCTTCGTCGTAAAGCATACCGCGCGCTCGAACCGACACAGGAAAAGGGAAACACATTTTGGGGTTTTCTGTCGCTTTTCTTGCCTTTTATAACTTTATATAATTATAATCTAATATTGGCCTGATTCTGACCGCGTGAGAAGCGCGTGCGAAGCGCGTGAGAAGTACGCGAGGGTCGCGTGACTTCGACGCACCAGGGGTAAATTGGTAAATTTCGACAAGTGAAGAGTAACTTTCAGTAAAACTCTCTGGGCCAGCCCAAGGCCCGTTCCTGCAACTAATCCACATGTCGGCCCACAGCCCAAACGGTCGATCGCCCCCTCGCACCTCTCCCTCTTCCCCCACCCACAATTTTCCCAGCCATCTCCTCGCTTTTCCCTCCTCATCCCCCCCATCCCAATTCTGAAAACCCTAAAGAATTTCAAAAGGATTTCAACGCCAATTCCACTTTAAAATCTCAGCTCCCCATCTCCAATTCCTCAAAATCGAGCGACTGGGGATCGCTAGGGTTCGGAATCACCGTTCAAGACCGAACCTTTTCCCTCCTCCCTCGCTACAATGGCACCGATTTTATCTTCATCAAAAGCATTATCAAGATTATTATCATCTCGAAGTCTAGCGTTGGATTCGAGGAACGGATTGGGATTGCTGCAGCGATCTTCGAGGAGCTTGGGGAAGTCCGAGAGGTTATCTCAGGTTCGGAGTTTTAGTAGTATCTCGAGGATTGGGAATCCTAGGACTGATTCTTTGATCAATAATGGTAGACAGGCTGGTTCTTCTTCTGGGAGTTCGCATTGGAAATCTCAAAGCAGATGGTTTTTGGGGGTTGGTGATGGTGAAGAGGGAGGAAACGTTTTGGCAAAGACTCATGAGGAGAGGCGCGTCATGGGGTATGCTTGTACGACTATGGGTGCTTTCTTTTATACATTATCATATGTGTATTAGTGGAAATATCGACGAAGCTCAATCGGATTGATATGGATATTGCCCTAAACTTTTGAGGGTTTAGTGTATAGAAGTAGATAGATTTCAACTTTCTTGAGGTGGTCATTAAACGCCTGCAATAATGGGGTTACATTCAAATAATGTTGTCATTAGCTTATGTACATTTAAATGAATGGCTCTGTTGTTGCTGTTCTACAATGCGACCATGTTGACATATTCGGTTGTCGAGAGTAATGTTTTCTTACTACAAGCAATTGAAGCTTTCTTTGATTCTTTTTGTTTCAGTGCAGTATATCACGCTTATGGTTATTGCAATGACCAGGTACTCTCCAGATCAGTTGTTTGCTGTGGTTGCAGCTGTTGATTTATATGAGGATTTTGTTCCATGGTGTCAAAGGTCTAAGATTCTGAGGCGGAATGATGATGGATCATTTGACGCTGAACTAGAAATTGGCTTCAAATTTTTGGTTGAAAGCTATGTTTCTCATGTTGTAATGAAGAAGCCGAATTTTATAAAGGTGTGTTTTTTTTTCTCATTAACTGTTAGCAGCGAATGACGGATTTCATGTTTATGCATCAGACATAAATATTACTCTAGTTTCCTCTTCTTCTTCTTTTTTCCTTTGTGTGTGTGTGTATGTGTGTGCGCGCGTGTGAAATTTTATAACCAAATATGTTTCTTTTACTAGAGATCAAAGTTTACTGTACAATGCAGGGCCTCGGGAGTGGCTGGGAGAGTATATCGTTAGAGGACATGATAGTCTTTTGTGTATGGATGCCTAACAATATGCTAAGAGGCCAGGAGAACATGGATGCTTCTCGCAAAAGATAGAAGTTGCTCCAATTCTGGTTGAAATGAGGAAGAACAAAGTGTGATGGTTTTGGCATGTTCTAGGAAATCAATGGGTGTATGTGTGCCAGTTAGGAAAAATGACAGGATTGTTGTTAGCGGAAGCAACAAGAACTAGATGTAAGCCTAAACTAAGACCTGGTGGCACATAAAGATAAGAAAAATGTTAACCTACGTTAAAGATGACCCTGAAAAGAGTTGAACTGAAGAAAAAGATTCATATAACTACCTGCAAAAGTTTAGGATAGCTTTATTGTTTTTGTTGTTATGTATTGTTATTTGGTGGTTTAGTAACTGAGAATTTTAATACAAGAAATGAACACAGAGAGGACTATGAAATTAGGTAGGAAAAAGGGTAGAAATGAGAAAGTTACTGGAAAACCATTGGCGACTCTGAAGGGTAAATACTACTGTAACTTAGCCCGAAAGTTTACTGTAGTTTTGTTGTATCTGTACGCATTTTAATAAATTGAATTGCTAGAAGAATGAGGAGAAAGTAAACTGAATGAATTCAAGCTTTTGATGTCAAACACAACCTTCTAGCATTTGATTTAAATGCAAATTGGGTGTGTAGTTGGAAATTAAGAGAAATATGAGCAGGAAGTAGGTACATACAGATCATGATATAAGAAAAAGAGATGACTGACAAATTGAACAAATTTCACTGTTTATTGTAATCATGTTAGATGACATGTACATTGTCTCTGCAATGAATGTCATACATATCAGTTGGCCTTATTCTTTAACCTGCTTCTTAATTTGTTAGCACTTATTGTTTATGATCTCGTTATAACCCAAAATTTTAAGTAAGTGATTATTGGCCCTTTAACGGTTGACCATGCTGTGCCTGATCAAATAACACTTTAGTCTTTGTCATTAATGGTTTTACAGATGATGCGATTCGATTAACACAAGATATGCTCTTTTTGTAGACAACTGCATCAGAAAGTAACCTTTTTGACTATTTGATTAATATATGGCAATTTAAACCTGGTCCTGTTCCCGGATCTTGTGAGCTTTATTTCATGGTGGATTTCAAGTTTCAGTCACCGCTATATCGCCAGGTATATTTTGCTTCATCATTATTTTAAATTGTCTGCCCTGTTCTATATGTATGTTAGAGGAATGTCCATATACTATTCCCTGCTTAATTATCATTTGCCACATGTATACATATTATTTCTGATCCTTGGTCTCATGCACAGTGAAGTTCGTCTTGCCTCGAAATGGGCTTCGTTAAAGCTCTGGCATGGAAATGGACGCTTATCTAACTTCATGTTCTACATTTGTTAATTTCTAGTGCTTGGCAACAATCAGCTGCTTTTATAATTAGGCTGATGCAGCTTATTCTCCTATATGATAGAATTAGAAAACAGAAAATTTAGGAAGAGAAAGCAAGAATGTCAAGAAGACTAGATAAAATTGGAAGTAGCATGGAATGAAGAGATAAGGAGAATCTTTTAAAACTCAATCATTTTGCAAGTGCACATCATCAGAGTACTCCCCAAAAACAGAAGTTTTAACATTTATGTAGATTGTATGAAAGAACGATATATCTGAAAGAAGAACTCAAATAAATCACAATAAGGCTTGTAGAAACCACCACGTTTTTATTGAACTGACCATAAATGCTATGACATAATACCCCTTACCTCTTTCCGTTCTTCTTTCCGTTCTTCCTTTGACTGGCCCATGTGGTGCAGTATGCTTACACCTTTGTTCAAATCCAAGTCTAATACAGTTAGGCCTTTCATCCCAAAGAAAAAAACGCACCTCATCCCTTGAGAAACACTCACTCACCATCAAATAAAAAGGAAAAGAAAAATACACTAAGGTTACATAACGGAACTGAGAATAATTAAAAACATTTTTGCACTTGCCCTAACTACCTTCACTACCACTTACGTCTTTTGCTGTTACTGTAAGTAGATGGCATCCTGATGCTGGAGGCTTTTTTCTTTTGTTGGTGGTGGAATGAGACAGTCATACTATGTGTAGAACATTGTTGGAATCAATGTGTTTTTTGGAGTGCAATGAGTACTTTGAGGCAGTACCTCTTCAGTCTTCAAAAGGAAGATACACAAATCTCAGTGGCAATTATGATACTGGACGCGCTTACAGGCACCGTGGGACGGCGACCGTTTTGGTGTTGGCAAGATGACAGCTCCGGTTTTGGGGTGACAAACACTATTTCCTGGATGAATTTTGATGGCACAATATGGTCCTGCAAGAGGCTGTCAGGGTTAATAAAATTGTGACAATGAGATATTGGTGTCATGCCGATTAACATTGAGGTCATTGGTTGTGATGCCATGATGATGACAGTGCATGGTGATAATGTTTGTGACGTTAATGGCATATAGAAGTATCTTAGGCTCGATACTGGTTGTAGACGTGTGAAGCCAAGGTGCGTACAGTTGAGGACAATTCATAACTCAAGTTAACTCCAAAAAGGAATAGGGAATTTTGTTGGAGAAACTCTTGTAGACACAAGGGTGTTTTCTATTAAGAATGTCTTGTACTTGCATGAATGTGCCTGGCTCTCATTGAACAGCTATTTAAAATCTATGAAACCCAGGGAGTAAGGGAACAAAGATGTAGAAAAACAGGTCGAACGAGGAGCTTTTTTTCTTTTATACCGAAACTGATTTAATCATACTGATGGAAACTTATGACAGAAAATAAAGGGAGGAGAAGAAGAAATATGGAGAAAATCATTAGAACCAAAATCATTTCATTGACATTGATATCAAACTAATTTGCAAGAATAAGACTATTTTCTATGTGGTACACTTGGTAGAAATTCAAAAGATAGTAAACTAGGTATATATGTCTTCTAGAACTTCTAGATAAAGCCTCTTCAGCTCTATCAGAACTTTTAGAAGGGCATTCAGGATTTGCGTGACTTGAGCATAGGGCAGTAAAGACGGGAGTTTTGTTCTTATAGTCTTTATTTTGTTTATGTTTTTAAACAAATATTTGAAAAATAAAATCACATAAAATTCAACATGGATCATATATTTCTTCTAGTCTTTATTTTGCTTTTCTACCCTTTGGTGCAGAAAAATGTTGTCCTATTATTAAATGTGGCACGTAGTTGAGAGCTCAAGGGTTATCGTCTTTGGTTGATTGGAGTTCAGTTTCGATACAATCTTTCTGATCTTATCACATTCTATTGCTTTTTGGTTTTTCTAAAAAGTTATTGTTACGTATCTGCTTATTGTTTGCTTGGAGATTTTTTAACTTTCTTACGGCTGTAAAAAACTTGACGTTAGTTATCATGGATCAGGTGGCTTCCATGTTCTTCAAGGAAGTGGTTTCAAGGCTAGTTGGTTCATTCAGTGACCGCTGCCGGAGAATATATGGCCCCGGTGTCCAAGTTTTCGAAAATGCTTATGGTCAAGGCAGAGATAAGTGACATAGTTGTGGTTATTGTTTTGAGGATATAGAACATCACAGAATGTTAGCATCCCGTTATTTTTTTGGCTACACAAATGTGTAAAAGAGAGCATGGTGCATTAACAGGCAACTAAGGTTCACAATTCTGCAATAAGCTCCAAAGAGAATAGCAGATTATTTATGATGCAGCTAATTCTTTTTTTGTGTAACCCATACATTATGGGTATCCAAATTCCTGTTACCAGATGACATTATCAACCAGAAGCCATACAATTACAGAACTTCAATTTTCTTTGCATGAAAATAATGTGGGGACAATACTCTGTTCTTAATTGGAGATTATAGTTGTATGTAGACATTCTATTTCTTTTTCGAGTTAATTGCCAATATACCCTCTGTATGATGCGGTACTTATTGCTCTTTAAGTTTGATATTCGCAGATATATCCTCTGACTGTAGTTTTTGACTCTTTTATCCTTCTGGGATGCTTGCTTTTTGTTTTTTTTTTTTGTTTTTTTTTTTTTTTTTTTTTTTTTTTTGGCAAATAGATCCCAAGTATAAAGGTTGAAAAAAAAATCACTAAGAGGAGTGCATTTGCCAAATATCGAACTTAAGGATGAGCGCCACAACGCGACACTAGAAGCCCTCCACATGCAATTAACCTTTTTCGTCATTGCAATGATATGCTGGAGGGCTGGTCGAATTCCTGAAACATTGTTAGCCTTTGTCTTCTTGTTTCGATCATTTAGCTTTAGGATTTAGTGTTGTATGTAGTCGACGTGTGCATGTTCAGAGATCTGGAATCATCAAGTTTATGTGTAGCTTGGTTAAAGGCAGAAAGTAAGGTGACCAGTTTTCTCGCTTGTTAGTAAGAGGGTGGTTCTTTTAAGCCAAGCGTATTTGGGTGATCCATCTATTCCATGAGATAGATTTGGTCTCTTTAGAAGGATTTGAAAACATTTTTTTGTTTTTTTCCCGCGTTCAAGCTTAAAATGAAAACACCACTCTATGAATGGTGCAGGTAATATGATGAAAAACTGTCAGAATAGGGGGCGTTCGATTTTATTTTAAGCTTGAACGCGGGAAAAAAAAAATGTTTTCAAATCCTTCTAAAGACACCAAATCTATCTCATGGAATAGATGGATCACCCAAATACACTTCGCTTAAAAGAACCACTCTCTTACTAACAAGCGAGAAAACTGGTTACCTTAGTTTCTGCCTTTAACCAAGCTATTTTTTAAAATCTCATGTGGGGCCCGGTTTACTGTAGCAATAAGAGGGGGAGTGTGGTTAGGGTTGTGGTGGGTGGTGTGCCTCTAACATTATTTCCATTCATATTAGTCTGAGAAGGGAAAGAAAAAGATGATTAATTTAGGAAACCAACAGTGTAATTTCCTTCTATTTTGTCTTCTCTAAATATGTCAATATTATTCTGATCAAAAGCTACAATATAAGGCTCCGTACCAAGGATGTCAAAACTCCCGATTACTGCACTATACTAAACTAAGCCAACAAGAAGTTACTTCTGACGAAAGACCCCATCGATAAAAGCAACGGTGTTCCTACTCTCCTCCTCATCCTCATCCTGCGGCGGTCGCGATGAGAGCTGCAACGCATCAAATGTTCCTCGAGAAGGCATAGAAGCATGAGGGAGATCCAAGCCAGGAGGAGGAAAGCTGCTGAGGTCGATCGCATTGTTGTTGGATACCGAGGATGTGTTTGAGTACGCTGGCTGGAGAACTGTGTTGTGCTGCTGCATCTGCTGCCGCGATCCGTGGAGACTGCTGGAGGCTGCTGCAGCCAGCCTGCTGTTTATTAGGTGGGATTGCACCACGGATAGCTCAGCTTGCAGCGATGCAACCTGTTGTGGAACGCAAAAATCAAGGTAACTCGCAGATAACGTGTAGAAATCATCAGTGACGTAGTGAAATCGAAGGATTATTTCTAAAAAAAACGGAATCTCAAATTAACCTTTTGCTCGTTTGTACTTGCTTCATTTAGTTTAGGAAGGTCCTTTTAACGATTGAAATTTAGAGATGGTTGGAATTTGTAGGACTTAAGACATCTGGAATCTTCCAACCTTGGATGAAATATGTGGTGTGTTAGTTGAGAGGAAGAATGCGAAGGAGAACGTACATAGAAATGTATTTAAGTTAATTGTAATGGTTGGTAGAGTATGGTTAAAGAGGTCTCTAGAGTTATGGCATGATAGTTGTTGGATCTGATTCATGCATAGAATATGATTTTTTTTTTAATATAGATTTCGTTAGAGACACAACAAAGTAAATGACTAGGCAAGCTTAGCTTAGCGGCTAGATCAACCAACTTGAGAGTTGATAGCAAGTGGTTAAACCGAGCGGTGCTTGTTCTGAGAAGTTAGTCGGGTTTGATTTTGAGCCCTCACTCCTTAAAAACTCCATCAAAAGGACTCAACCCCTACAAGAAAAATATCACGAATTGTTGCCCACGTAAAATCTATCTCCCACTAAGAAAATTCTCAAGAATTGTGACACACGTAAAATCTATCTCGACTCCAATAAAGATGCAATTAACATAGCCTGTTAATACAACGAATTTGGATCCTCTCCTTAATTATTTTCCATCATAACTGATGATTATCTAGTAGGAGATCGTGATAGATCCTAAATCTAACACTCACCAAACCCTATGTATTACACTCATTTTCAATTTGCACTCAAAGAAAAAACATAGCCAAATCAATGATTGTGATTAAGTAATGATCCTCCCGCTACTTTTTCAGTGGTAGAATATTCATATCCTAATACAACCCCGTCGTCCGAACTAACTCCAATCAAAGGTGTTAAAATAATGCGGAGAGGCTGTTATATAGTCTAATAAGGGTCTTCGTCGCTCATTTGGATATAATATGCCGTTATAATTAAACTAGCTCAAATGAAAAGAAGAGAGATGAACTAAGATAAAACTTTGGAGTTCAGATAAAATCCAATTTTAATCCATTTTTGTACACTACAGTCTAGCTCATCTTTTCAGATTAAATAACTGTTAAATTATGAATAGTAGCCATTATATGATTTTATATCCAGCTAGGAGCTAGCTAGCTAAGCTGGCTGACTTGTATAAAAAAACTACATTAAGAAACTTAACTCCATATATTATTCATGAACCATAACGTTTTTGCCAATTTCGGCGATCCCTAGCACCAACAACAATCTTAGTTTGAACATTAATAATCCGAGTATATATCAGAACTCCCTTGGGTAGCGTAAACCGTAAGACCTCGTTTGGTACGCGGGAATGAATTAATGAGAATGGATTATTAATTCTTACTTCTCATTCCTTTCTACCAAACACAACCTCTTTTTTAAAGTTGAACTGTTCATTCCCACTTCTCATCAATTCTCACTTTATGTAGGAATGAACATTCCCAATGAAATGATAGGGAATGAGTAATCCCATTTAAGCGGAATCAATAAAATATAAAATTTTAAAATACGTTAATTCTCACTTCATTTTATAAATTGTATCCAAACGTGAGAATGGAAATGAACATTTCATTCTCACATTAATTCTATTCTATTACTTAGTCTGTTCTATTCTCATTTCCGTCAGATTCTCAGGTACCAAATGAGACGCAAAGTGACACCGCGACAATCACCGCCAGCTTAATTCAAAAAAATGACAGTTTTAATATTGACAGTTACACGCATGCATGACTCGCATTTAGTTAGCGCGTTTCAACGGACATACCTGTTGCTGAAGCGATAGAATGGTCGACACACAACCGTACACCGGATCCGACAGCCTCGCCTGCGCCTCGTAGCATATCCCCCTGATCGGGCCCGAAGTGCGGCGCGAACACACACCCGGCCACGCACTTCCTCCTCAAAAACTTGCACGCACCGCAGGGGGCTGACGGGGTGGCGGGCTGGGCCAGGCCTGAACTGGACCCGGAACGTTTGAGGGCCGGCTTGGTTTCGGGTTTGGAGTCCATGAGGAGGGAATTAAGGAGGGGACGGGAGGGGAATTACTATGAAATAGTAGGGGGAGGGGAGCACGTTGGGCTCGTGAGGGACACGGTGGGAAGAGCCCAAGAGGACGTTATAGTGAGGGTGGTTGGACCTTGGGGGTGGGTTTGGGTCAGGTCTTGGTTTTGGAGTTTGGAGGTGTTACTTGCACCGGAGTAGACCCGACAGCCCGAATCCAATATCCATGATTCGGATTTCCTTTTTTTTTTTTTTCGGGGTGCCAGGAGAAAGTATCCAACGGACTAGGTTCGTTAGAAAATGTATTATCTCATACAAGGAGAGCCCTTTGATCAGTACGAAACAAAAAAGATTTGAGGATAAGATAAGCGGGCACTGATGCAAGGATTCTTCCGGTTTCAATCCACCGTACAAGTAATAGAATACGGGCTACTGAAATGTTTTTCTTTGGCAATAATAAGGGTCAGCTTATAGGAATCGATATCTTTGTTTTGTAGCTATGAAGCGGAATTTGAATTGCATGTCTCTTGCCTAACTGTAAGAGGTTTTGTGTCCGTAGTGATGCCCGCTGATAAATATATATGAGAAAAGATTAGATATTGAATATAATCTAATAGGAGGCTATCCAACTTATGTAATGAATATGTTCAGTTAATGAGTGAATGCATGCTTTCCGTTCACTTTTCAGCGATCGGGGTCCGAACTCAGGCAAATCCGACCCGTTAGTGCAAATGCACGGCAAGGAGGCTGTTTGGTGTTTGGGAGGAAAAACAGCAAGGAGCAGACAGTTTTGTTACTGCAGTGAGAAGTCTTGGGAGTTTGGTGAAGGGTGGAAGTACGTTGATGGAGGAGAATGGAAACACACACAAGATTTGTGCTGCCCGTCTCGTGTGGGGAGGTTGGACTCCGTGGGTTGAGGGTGAGGCTCACGCTACGAGTTACACTGTCTTCCATTTTGTAATAATGATGCGTCCTCGGGCTCCAAGAATGTGACTCAAACTTGACTACAAATCAAGAAAATGTTGAATACATGCACGTTATATTAGAAAACCTCGCAGGTGAGCATGATGTTCTGAGCCATACGCGAGACATTTGCAAAATTGAACTTTGCACCCTAGCTCTTCTTTTATGGCTATTCTGACGTGATATTTGACATTAAAACATTGTGCTACACCGGTGTTGGAAATATAACATGCAACACGGCGGAAATAGCATATCATGACTATTAACCAAAACTAATTAAAAACTAGAAGAACACCTAAAACGCTTTTCGAATTTCTACAATAATCTATCCCGAGATCAGTCCGAAATAGCTTCCTCAAGAGAAAAAACCTCCAATTGAAATCTACCCGTCATCGAAAAGGAGCAATACTGAGAGATATATAGGTTCTCAAATTTCTATTTCTATTCTTCATATTATCTTCATAAGGTTTTATGTATCTTCATAAGGCTACATATGAACTCTATATATAGGATTAGACTAGACTTAGAGATTTTAATTTTTAACAATTCATAATGTTCGAAACATTATCCATAACAATTAAAGATAGAATATATTTATTCAAAAACTTTATCCATAACAATTAAGGGTGGAAATAGAATTGCATTGTATGTATGCCTCTTCTAATGACATTAGTGAGACCAATTGGGTCCCATATCGAGAACCAATTATTAATCAAATTAATAATTTTAATTTATCAATCAAATCCCTATCCAACCAACTGTTCATAAAAGTTCTTCGATAATATAGGATTAATTATTAATAAATAATATCTTACATTCAGTCCCCTCTAGTATCATTTATTTTAGGCAACTCTAAGTAGGATAATTCACCTATTTGCTCATGCATAAATTGCAATTCCCTTGAATATAAATAAAAATTATTTTAAAACATTAAAATATTTTATTTTTATAAGAAAGTAAGTTTTTTTAAAAAATATTTCCAAACCCACCCGTCAACAGAAATTTAATAACTTCATGGGAATATATAATAAATTAACTCATCATAATGAGCTATATATATATCCATCATTTTCCTAAATATAATTTAGCAAACCAACGTTTTCAGGTTGTGTAGCGCTTGCTAAACAAGTTTAACCATCACATCAAAGTATACTAATTAAATTATTAAATCGAAAATGATAATATCATCAAGTCAAAGTGATCATGTAACAATCTGAAATCCCCATCTGCTAGGTGACTCGTCCTAGAGAATCTAAATCCGGTCTAGTGCTACACACATCACAAATGCGTGTTTATGACATACACCCGAAAAATCCTCATTCCCGGTGGTTGAGACCCACCATCACATCTCACATATCGGTGTCATGCATAATAACATGTTATAACAAAGTTATCATTTACTAGTTATAGATTAAACACAAATTTAAAATTTTTCTAAGTTATATTATACCTCCAAGTAAGTGATCATCATAGTGTATGATCTAACAAAATAACTTCTAAGGATATATAACAATTATATAAATAATACTCATATTATATGTGCAACAATTAAATTTATTAACATTACAATATTATTACATAATTTGTATTGGATGTTCAAGGACATATTAATATTACTATTCCAGCAACCAGTTATATGTTTGTTTCAACTAGTGTGGCCGTACATATCTATATTTATATCTATACTACTTATAAAAGAGAATATGAGTACCAAAACTTTTGATTTCTCATAATGTCCTTCAAAATTAATTCAAATCACTACATTGCATTCAAGCTATAATCAATACATACAAATGCCCACATCTCATCTAATTCTTTTTCAACTCCCTTTCCCACGATTACCAGTGTCCTTCCTCTCTTACATTATGTCTATTTAATATTACCAATGGAGGGGACATGTGAGGTGTCCCCCTCTATTGCATAATGAGTTGGCATAGCCAACTCATTATGCAATAGGGAGGTGACACTTCACATGTCCCCTTCATTGGTCCTATATTTTGGGTCCTTAAATCATTTTCCATATCCTTATTGGCCTCTTCGGAATGCTCATTCAACTTTTTTGTTATTTACATTGGTATCATTTATTAAGAAAAGCACTAATTTTCATTAATTACCTCAAAGTAAAAATCACGTAAGTTTTATTGGCAACATATGTAACAAAAAAAAACCAAACAGCTTAGAGCATCTCCAACAGTTTCCCTAAAAATTTCTCCAAAATGGGGAAGCAAAAGTCATATTCTCCAAATTATTTTTGCTCCAACTCCAACAGCTTCCCCATTTTGAAGAATCCTGCATTTATTACAATAATAAAAATATTCTACATCCCTATTTTTGGCTGCTCTTATGCATTGGAACTGCCCCCATGGTTTTTTTTTAATTACGGATTTTGTTTTATATTTATTTTCTCATCCATCCCGTCTTGAAGAACGTGCCATATTCATGACCAAGCTTTCCCCAAATATTTGAAGAATGCCCCAGATTTGGGGAAGACTCCCCTTTTTTCTTCCTCCATCCCTATTTTGGGGAATGGGATAGGGAATCTGTTGGACCAAAAAAAAGCCCAAAATTCTCCAAAAGTGAGAATACCAATAAAATTGGGAAGCTGTTGGAGATGCTCTTACAGCCCACTCGCCCAAACAATTGCATCTGCCTATTTTACTGCGCCTCATTATGGTATAAAAAGCATTAAAACTAACCATATAAAATTCAAGGGTTTTTATGGGAAAAAATCACGATTAAAACAGTCAATTATGAATCCTTGAAAAGCAATTTATATTAATTTCGGGAATAAATATTTTGCAAGTCATGAAATTGTTGACAATTCAATTTTTCGGGTATTTTTGTCAATATACTATTCATTGTAATTCTCGAGTTGAGATTAACTATTGAAAATAGATAAATGCGCATACAAAATTTGCTGAACTCATCAGTATGCGAATTAAACATGACCAATAGAAATCACGAGGCGAGTGATTTTTAGCAAATAACTGGTTATAGTTGCCGGATTTTTTTATTGAAAGTGTCGGCCCCTGTGATATCTGGAATCCCGTTTCAAAGTGGAGTCCCTAATGATAAAGGCAAATCAACGAGGTTTCAAAAGGCCCTAAAGCATTATAAGCTAATCTTGTCCCAAAAAAAATAAAAAAGAGCTTGTGATATGAAATATAAATCCTATTAGAAAATATTCACGAAACTTTAAAAGGAGAAAATAAAATTTCCAAAATAATCTAATATGAATGACTTTACTTTTCATTTTTTTAAAGTAAAATATGGATAAATTTTTAAAAAAGTCTGTTTTTCAAATTTAATTAGCAAAATCAATCATAAAAATAAAAATATTTAATTATTAAAATCGATCACTTTTTACCACACAGCTGGTTAAAAAACTGATTGATATTGCAAAATATAAAGCTTGGAAATATATGGGACTAGGGACTACTAATTAGTTTATTAATAATAAATGCGTCTAGTCCCGTGCCTCTTGGAACTAAAAAATTAACATCGGCTTTATAGAACTAAATCTTTTGGACTCAAATACTTAATTTTTATTGGGCCCAGGTCGGTGGGAAACTTTGTTCCATAGGTCTCATATATGGGCATGTGAGTGGTGGGCCCTACAAGGGCTTCGTTTGGTAGGAGAGGAATGGAGGGGAGATGCATAGCAAAACGAACTAAAAAATAGAGAGAATAAATGCTTCAAATCTACTCCTTATAAACTAAAGGAGAACAACAAAAAAATTTCTCATGAACAGTAAAAACCCAACTTATAAATCTAAGGAAAATGATTTAAGGACCCAAAATATGGGACCAATGGAGGGGACAAGTGAGGTGTCCCCTTCCTATTGCATAATGAGTTGGTCATGCCAACTCATGCCAACTCATT